CATTTCTTCCACTTCAGGTGGCATCTGTACCGGCAAGCCCGTTTTCCAGGCAGCCCCAGGCCTGGCCAGTGCCAGGCAACAACATGACCCACCAGACGCCGGCAAGTACACGCCAGCCAGAACAAGCAAGCTGGCAGCCGGAGAGGATGCCTCTTCGTGTCGCAAGCCGATGAGATGCCTGACCGAGGTTGACAAAAATCTCGCATTTCGTCCCGACATCCCGGAACTCGGCGATGAAGATGAGTGCGGCCGATTTGAGCTCGTGAAAGCGGGAGAGACCATCGGGCCCGAGGGGCCCGGCGGCTCTTCGCTGTACTCTTTGATGAACGGCTTCCTGACGGAGGAGAGTCTGGGCGGCAGCGCCGGTACCGAGGCCCAGGGCGGCGGGGAGCCCGTGAACCTTGTGGGCCTAGGATCCTCGAGTGAATTGGAGGCAGCCGTGGAAACCAGCTTGCTCGGATTCGGCAAGTCGAAGAGCCGAGTCAGCAGTCGAGGATTTCTGAACGCGGCTGGCGAGTTCACACCACCTCGACTGGGCAAACACACTCTTGTCGACCATAGCAACTGGTCGCCAGGTGCCAGCGCTCTGCTGCCCGGCTGGCTGATGACGACCGACCCGCGCCAGGCGCGCCTCGGCTCGGCCCCCTGGGCCTGGCCCTGGCCCTGGTCGTTCGCGGGACAGGGACCCGGACCGGACTCGAGCTCAGGACCGGTACCGGTCTCCGGATCGAGATTGGCCTCTGTTCGGGGCTCGAGCACCCCGACGAGCCAAGCTCGTCCGCTATACTCTTCGGTGGAGCGAACGACGGGCTCGGCCATGCTCGGCCGGTCGCAGCGACGCAGCATCCAGACCGAGACCGCCGGGCCGACGAGCGCCGTTGTCTACGAGGAGATGCGCTCGACAAGTGGCCTGACGAAGCGGCTGGCCGTGGCGACTGGACGCAGGCCGGAGACAGGACGCCGACACGAGGGCGGTGTCGAGGCGGGCCAGAAGAGTGAAGAGGCAATGCCAGACGTTGCACAGACCTGCACCGACCGGTTGATGCAGGAGCCGGGCAGAGCGGACACTGTCAGTCTGCAAGAGGGCAAAGTGAAGCAGCGGTTGCTATGGCCATGGCCGGGCCAGACGAGGGGTGCTTCCATGCAGGTGGGTCCTCATCCTGAAAAAATGCTGATACAATTACGCCTTCAGTCTGCACCACAGTCTGCTTTCATATGGACCAAAAGGAAGAGGATTAAAGCCAGCAGTTGTGGCCATGCGAGGGTATAGGCCCGATGGAGGTTGAATTTCACATGTTACGGGTGGGACTGGTGTGAAAAATGCAAAATGTATGAAAAGCAAATAAAGTCAACCAAAGTCGGACAAGATGAGATGAGGAGTATTCATATTGAGATTGTGGGATTTTTGAGAATGGGAGTGTCGCTGAAACGATTATTTGTTATTTGTGTGTAGGTGAGCTTTTAAGACTGCCAGTAAATCAAATAAGTGAGATGCGTTCATGCTATTTCAGTTTGCGGTGAAGAAGGGCTGGCAGTTGGATTTCCCAAATGAATTCAGATTGAATTTCACACATCTTATATTCCTGATTTACTGATTTGCTTCATCGACAATCCCACGA